AATAAATTCCTGTTTCAGTTTCTTTAAAAAAACGTGTTCAGCATTAGTAATCTCAGTGTGAGAATTTCCACATACTGCTCAGAACAGGAAAAATTAGGTTACCCATGCACCCCATTCCTAACAAGAGGAAATAAGAACCCTTCGATACCGAACTGTGACTTCAAAGATTGTTGCAGCCAAACTAAAGTGCCATATTTTTCCTTGATGATCAAAGGGAAGATTAAAGAAACCCGTTGTTTGCTTCAAGGAATCTTTCTTCTTTACTCCAGGAACAAAAGGATTTGCACCCTCTATTCTTCCTATGCTGCAAACAGCAGGTTCCTTTCCCCTTGTTTTCACTGAAGCAAAAAAACAGTCAAGCCATGGTAAGTTCACACACCAGACCACACTATTTCATCAGCTGCATTCATTTTGCAATGTATGTTGTTTTGCAGGAAAAAGAGGGGCTGAACACATCAGAAGAAATTCCTGTAGTGCAAAGCACATATATTGTTGTAGTTGTTTAGTCGTTAAATCTTGTCCAACTCTTCATGACCCCATGGACCAAAGCACGCCAGACTCTCCTGTCTTTCACTGCCTCCTGGAGTTGGGTCAAATTCATGTTGGTCGTTTCGATGACACTGTCCAACTATCTCGTCCTCTGTCGTCCCCTTCTCCTCTTGCCTTCACACTTTCCCAATATCAGGGGCTTTTCCAGGGAGTCTTCTCTTCTCATGAGATGGCCAGAGTACTGGAGCCTCAGCTTCAGGATTTGTCCTTCCAGTGAGCACTCAGGGTTGATTTCCTTCAAAATGGATAGGTTTGTTCTCTTTGCAGTCCAGGGAACTCTCAAGAGGCTCTTCCAGCACCACAGTTCAAAAACATCAATTCTTCAGCGGTCAGCCTTCATTATGGTCCAGCTCTCACTTCCATACATCACTATAGGAAAAACCATAGATTTGACTATGCAGACCTTTGTCGGCAAGGTGATGTCTCTGCTTTTTATATATACATATATTGATAGCAATTTTCAAATACCTGAAAGGTAGTCATACAGAGGAGGGGCAGGATCTGTTATCCATCCTCCCAGAATGCAGGACATATAATAATAGGCTCAAGTTACAGGAAGCCAGATTTAGATTGAATATAAGGAAAAACCTCCTGTTGGAGCAGTATGACAATAGAACCAATTACTTCAGGAGGTAGGGAGTTCTCCAGTGCTAGAGGCATTGAAGAGAAAATTGGACAGCCATCTGTCAGATCTGCTAGATTTGGATTTCTGCACTGAGCAGAGGGTTCGACTCAATGGCCTTATAGGTACCTTCAAACTCAATTATACTATGATTCTATGTCTTTTGTTCCAGTGATGCTGCCTATGCAAGGGGGAGCCAAGAGCAACTTTACTTCATGACACTACTAAGCTCGCACCCTTTCTTCTCCACCATATGTACCAGCAGTCTTTTGGTATCAGATTAACTCAGTGCATCAGACTACACAGTCGACAAACCTGCATACCTTTTCTCCATGTTAATTTGCCACTTAAATTCATGGCAGATGGAAACACCAGCAGAAGCAGCAGAAAGTGCATTCTGTGTAATGAATCAACGTCTTCTTTTGTTGAGATTCAATAGTGAAACCTGGCTACAATTTCCATTGTCATATTGCTAGAATCGTCACTCAATTTTTTTTTCCAGGTGTGCTTCCATGCTCTTAACATCCCTCTGTCATTCAAGATCCAAACCAGTGGTTCACGCCCATCTCTATTTCCAAGTAAAGATGCACAGGGCTGGACTATTTCATGATCAAATATTCTGGATTACATCTGATTTTTATTCTGGCTGCACAGCCTGTTTTATTGCTAGACTGCATGTTTTAATGTTTGTTGTATATGCCAGGGGATATTATATTTGTGAACTTTTTGCTGAAGAATGGATTAAGTTTTAAAACCTGGATTCATGAAGTAGGGAGTAAGAAAAAAAATCAGGGCGGGAGCATGAGACTTGGAGGCACCGCATCCTCCTTCACATTTCATTTGTGTTCTTCCTGCTGTTTCTTAAGATCAACCACATCTTTATTAACTGTTTGCAACAAAAAACCTATCTGTAATCATTGTTAATGTAAAATATTTTTGCTATGTTTTTGTGTTTGTTTTTAATTTTATTAAAAAATGAACTGCATTTTTGTTTGCTTTTATTTTGGTATAAGAGAGTTGGATGATGGTCAAGGAAAATTGGGCAAGTATGAACATTCCTCAAAAATGAAGAGTGTGTGATCATGATAGTGAAAATTTTGAAACTGGTATTAATTTAAAGTAACCAATTATCTCCTTCACACTGTCCTCAGATACTGCAGCACCTCTTCCATTTTCATCTACTGCATTAACAAAAAGAAATGGGCACACACTGAAACCTAGCTACAATCAGCCACTAAGCACTGAGGAGTGTTACCTACTATTACTTATGAGATTTATGAGCTTTGTATTGTTAATGAACTTTTTAAAAAGTGTTGTCATGTTTTTCACTCATGAAGACATACACATTGCAACACTAGAGACATTGTTACATTTTAGTAAGGATGATTGTGGATGCATGCCATAATACTGTATGTAGGATAAAAACTAAGAGATATAGCATAATTTGGTCTTTACACTAATTCCTGCATCATCTGGCTCATGCCAATACCACTTATCTCTCACATTCAGGTGCACTTAAAATAATTAAGCATTATTACTGATGCTCTTAATAAATGAAATACACCTTACAGCCCTATCCTCTAGCTTTATTAGTAGATGGAACGTACTTAAAACAGGGAACAGTGAATACATATATAATGCATAACCCTATTGGATAAAAAACAGCAGCTTTCATCCACCCATACTGGTTGGAGATAATGGAAGGTGTAGTCCAACACACCTCAAGTATTCCAGGCCCAAGAAGACAAGAGATATAGACAAGGACATGCACCCATATTCTGTTATGGCTGGACAGAGAAGACCTTTTAGTTTTTACAAGGTACTGACAACTCCAGCACACCAAACATGCAAAAAGCCTAAGGTTCTTGCTGACCTCAGTAGTGAAAAGCTCCCCAGAGTCACAAAGATGGAAAATCTCTTTTTCCTGAGCTTTTCAAGAGATCTTGCCTGCTCATCAGAGGAGAAAATACTGAGACTGGGAAAACCAATATTTTGATTAAGTAAAAAGCTGGTTCATATTTTTATATAGGCAAAACACGGTGGTCCCAGTTCCTGTAATCCTTTATCCTCAGCTATACTGGCTGTGGCTCCTGGAAGTCCAAAACATGAGGAAGGCGATAGGTTCCCCACCTCTAATTAGTTATTATCAGCTTGCATCAACTCCCCATCAAACACAAATGATATTAGGTTGCACATTATTTTACTGTAGTCCTAATCTGAGCCTGATTAGGACTACAAAATTCTTGTAAGTAAAACATATACTGTATGCATATTTTTAGGAACTATTACATTATGATAATATAACTTAAAATCCTCAAATATACCCTTGCAAAACCTGATGACATACTAATCTGATGTAAATGGAACTTTGCAAAGGGTGTGTGTTTTTTAAATAAAAATACCAAATGATCTTAGGTTTCCACATTGAAGGTGTCACTTCGATAACTAAACATCTCTCAAGAGGAGAGCATCTGAATATTATTTTAAGGCTATTTGAGGATCAGAAATATACTTCAGAAACACAGACTAAAATTGTTTCAGGAGTCTCTACCCCATTCTTGCGAACAAGATAGCTCCTCGTAATAATTCAGTACCTATGCCAGCAGAACAATGAGATTTGATTGCAAAAGTGTAAACTGGGTGCAGAAGAAAGCCCTCAGAACCAATACTCCCAAGAACACCAGCACTTAACTCAGCAGGATCCAAAATGCAATGTCCTCCACAAAGCAGCCTGCATCCCACTCTTACGGAAGTGAGTGGAGAACAGCATTACAATGCTCATACAGCTACAATATCTCCATTCTCGCAGAGTTAATGAATACCAAATCATGCCACTGTAATAAGCAGAAGAGAACATACACTTCAAAAGGGGGCAGCTAATGGCACAGAATTCCATGAGACTTACTCCAGGTAAAAGCAACCTTAATTGTCTAAAATCCAAATATTGTTCCTAAGGATGGATTTCAGATGGATTGAGGCAAATAGCCCAAGATACGAAGACCGGAGTACAGTTAACACAAAACTAGAATACAGGCATGGCATTCTGTTCTTAGGATACATCAATCAAAGCACACAAGTTCATAAATGACTCTTGAAGTCGCCACTAGACGTCCTCAGATAGCTTGGAATATTTACATCCATATAGAATTTGTTTTAAATTTATTATTCACAAAGAGCTGCCACAATATCATTACTCTTCACATCCTTAAGAGCCAACAGTAATTAAAAAAAATTATGAAAAGACTGTCACTTTTGAAAAAAAAGTATCGCATATCTCAGCTGCCTTTTTTTCAGTGAAGTATATCACATACTGTAATTTACAGTTTGATTTTATGCTTGTAAAATAAGGCTCAGTTATTCTCCAATAAAAGCAGAATTGCTCTTTCAACCAACATTTGCTTCTTATCACAATTATTAGGCATGTGATAGCCAAGCAGTGTCTGTCACCTCTGTTGCTTTCACCTAGCATTCTGATTCATCAGTATCTCAGCTCTCACACACAGAATTATCAGCAGTCTGCTTGCAGACAGAACTCTCTCAGACCCCCTTCTTTCTGAAACATCCTAGGAAATTACTTCCATCATCCCAAAGCCCAAGATCTAGGTAGGCCACATCTAAGGTCTCTCCCAGGAAGTTTTTTTTTTTCATTCATTAATCATATATTGTGCAGAAAGGAACTTCAGAATACAATGCAAAGCTTGCTAATTTAAAAAAATGTTTGTTTCTAAACAAGAGGGCATATGCATATAACCAACTCTCTTTAAGTAACTGTAGTAACAAGTAACTACAAGTACTGGCAAGTACTAGGACATCATTTCACAAAACCAGGCTCCTCCAACAAACTGGAAGTCGGAGTCTCTCTCTTTCTAGTCAAATAAAAGCAAATATTTTCTTATCTGTTCACACCGCAAAGAATGAGGGGTATCTCCAAACTTTAGTAAGAAATAGAGTTTTTCCATCATGGCACAATAAGGATAAGAGATTTTACTATAGGCTGTATCAGCAGACATATACTGAGAGAGCACTTTGCCAAGGTGTGTATTTTCTACAGCGAAGCTGCCATTATGGACACTCCTTTTTTTACAATGGTCTGGCATCATTATGCCAGAAATAGCATTATGCCTATATAAAATTGTTTCCATTTCTTTATACAGAGGGCATAATTGAAATAGGTGTACCTGTATCTACGTACAGCAATCTCCAAATTTCTTAAACAGTAAAAAGTTGTAAGACTGGTGAAAACTTAAAATTTATTTCAATTATACTTAGTTTTTCAAGCTGGTCATAGTTAATGAAAGCAATTTATGAATGTGTGTGTGCTTGCCACCACACATGTGAATTAGCATAACCACCAAAGGTATTCATTAAATGAAAATTCCTAAATTTTGCATTAGGGAAGATAACACTGTAAAAATAACCTTCCATACTTCCTTGGCTGCTGTCTGAAGAAAACACAGGCAACATCTTTATGATAATCAGCTTCACAACTAAAGTTTTTCAAAGCAGAGCCTGATCAGTATGTGCAAATCCCCAAAAAATGAAGTCATTGTAAAATGAGCATCTTTTATTGATACTTCACATTTAAACCTTTATACAAAAGTCCAGTCCACTGAATTTTGCTTCAGTGAATATCCCTCCAATCTCCCCCCTACCCCACCCGTCTCATCATTGTGCAAGTCCTTCATAATTGATCACTGTCACAAGATGTATGTAAAGATATGGATACATACTGTATTACGTGCTTTGCATTTTTGAAGAAAAAAAAGAGGCCTTACAAATACTCACTGACTCTGTGTATGTGTGTGTTTAAATTATTGATCAGTCAGCAATGCAGAAACATGGATACATTTGATCCTCAAGTCTTCTGAGGACCAAAACCATCATTCCAAACACTATGTCCCTAAGAAAATGGCCTATGTTACACACACTCTCTCCCCTTCTCAATCTGTCTTTGTTTCAAGCAAGCAAAACTGCCTGAAAAGTTTCCAGTTGTTCTCTCCACTTTCCATAGAACCAATATAGGCAATTCACAATCTTGGTTTCCTGAGCAAGGTTTTGCTAAGATCCTTAACCTCTTCTGGGCTGTTGACTTTTTCGTAACCTAGAATAGCCATGGGCTGGTGACAGTATTCCTCAACTTGCTTAATTTGCTGAAAGCTCAGCGCTGTCCTCCAAGCATTCACAGCCTGGCTAGCATTCCTGGCTGAGACCACAAAGGGTTTCGAAGAATACCCAGGACCACTGGTCATGTTGAGAGCAAACTTCTCCATCTCTGGGCTCACCACCAGATTTACAAATCCATAGACTTGCCGCAAAGTCTTGATAGGGTCCACTACCAGGTCCTCGTAGCGGACAGCCATGTAATTACCCTTCAGCCAGTCTGGTGGACGCAAAGCAGTCTGTAAAGTCTTTGCCATGCTCCCACAGATCACTTCCATGGCACCTAAGGCATGATAGTCTGATCCGCCACCCCCTTCCTTCTTGCTGTTGAGCTTGTGGCCAGCATCTAGGAAGGGCATGCGATGGATACGGGGGTCCCTGCTTCTCACAACCTGTAGGCTTTCGCGGATGAGCCCATGGCGGGATTTGATCCGGGAGCTAGCCACTGCTCGAGGGTCCCGGACCAGATGGATGACTTTAAGAGCCAAGGATGGGTCTTGCATGAGGGGTGCCAAAACTCCAATGTCAAAGACCCGCACCCCTTTGATGACTAGAGTGTGGTACTTGAGGCACTCTTCCTGGAAGAGACTGAGCTGTTGCGGAGGGCACTTCTTGCACACCTTGTCATCCACCATGCCCACAACATCCTTACGGTAAGCTGAACAAAGCGGTGAGGAGCAGATGACCTTGTTGGTGGCTGCCCCAAAGATGCCCAAGGTGGTGAGGTTCTTCCCAGCCCCTGCCGTGCTGTAGAGCTGGAAGACAGAGAGGTCACAGCGGTAAAGGGAACTCAACATATCGCGAGCTGCACCCTGCAGAGATACAGCGTCCCCCGGGTACAACTTCTGCCATACATGCCACACAGGCTCATAGAGAAAAAAGACTTCAGGGTTCTGGTTGAAGAGCTCCCCAAAGAAGGACGACCCCGAACGCCAGGTGGTGAAAACGTAGACCAGCTGCCGTTTGCGGGCAAGGGGCACTGGGGGGCCATAGAGAGCCCGGGTGTCCGATCGGGACTGATAGGCATAATAAGGCAGCTGTTGCGGGTACGGAGTGCGCCGGGCAGGCAAGGGTTCACTGCACTGCTGCGGCCCCTTATGCCACTTGTAGTCCAGCAAGTTGAGCATGGTGAGGAGCAGAAGGAGCACATAGCCCAAGCAGAGCACCAGCGCCTTCCTGCGGAAAACCGTCATCCCTGCAGGCTAGAGCCAGGGCAGGAGACCACCAGCCCCACCAACCCTTGCACATCACAGGCCAACGTTCTTGCTCGAAGCTGATCTGCCAGGATGAGTCCAGACAGCCCAGAACTCCCCGCCAAAGGCAGAAGACATCTTCTCGGCTCTCCTGAAGTCCAGCCGTCCTTCTGGGCAGCTCCTGGGCGCTGGTCTCGAGGATGCCCCGTGTGCCCTGCTGAACATGGGTTCCTCCTGCTGCAGTTTTCCTTAAGCTCAGAAAAAAAACTTGCTTAACGTCCTCTCGCTTTCCCAGTTCCACGCCTTTCCCTCCCGAGAAAGACAGAAGCGGCACTCCAGCGCCAGCAAATGCCAGCCGGGGAAGCGGGCAAGGAGAGAGGGCAGAGGAAGAGGAGGACGAGGACGAGGAGGAGGAAGGGACGCCGTTGCACCAAGTTAATGCATCATCCCAGGCAGAGCGCGAGGCGCAAGCCGCCGCTCAGCCCTTCCGCAAACCCGGGGAGTTTCCAAGCGCCAGGCGGGGACCAGCGCCGGAGGAGCGGGCAAACTTTAAAAGGTTATCTCTGGGAAAGTGCATTGCGCCTTTTGGGGGAAGAGGAGGAGGAGGAGGGAAGCGGGCCCAGCAGCAGCAGCCGCCGCCACCTCAAGTCCGACTCCCGGCTAAGTTGGATCCCTTTGCTCCCGTTTGGGCTCCGAAGGCGAGGAGCTGGGGAAGGAAGCGGCGGCGGCGGAGGAGGGAGGCAGAGGAGGCCGAAGGTGAAGCCGAGCCGCTAAGGCGACGCGAAAGGCTCGCTGTCCTCCATCCCGCCGACTTGCCTGCAACCCCTCGTTCCCAAACGCTCGGCGGGCACGCGATCCAGCAGGAAGGGAGGCGGAAGAGGAACTGGCCTCCCCCGACCACCACCATCACCACCGCCTCCTCCACGACCGGCGGCGGCGATCTCCCAAGCGCGCTCCGCAAGGCTCCGGCGCCGCCGCCGCTCCATCACCACCCGCCCATGGAGAGACTTCGGAGGCGAGCCGCTTCTCGCCCGCGGGGAGGGAGAGGCGG